TCTTACCCTGCGCATGCATCCAGTGCCCTCCTGGGGCAAAATGCAGCCTTGGTGCTGGTGCCATCACCAATGTCCCCAGGCCATGCTGGTGCCCACTCTCCTACCTGTCCTTTATCACCCATCCTCTTCCTCCTCAGCTCAATGGCAGCAGGACATGCGCAGTGCCCCCAGGTAGCCTTGTGCCAAGCTGAGCCCGGTGCCTTCAGGCCGTCCTTAAGGCCAGCTGTGCCAGGGCTCAGGTGCTGGAGCTTGTGACAGGATGTTCCAGGTAATGTGCCCCTTGCCAGCACTGGTGCCTCTCCCAGCCTTCCCGTGGGCAGGGCTGGAAGGGAGAGTTATCTGCCTCTCTCTGACTGTCATTGCCAATGGCTCCTTCCTCCCCAGTGCTGCTGTTCCTGCATGCCAGGGCCTGCAGCCACCCCTGCAGTGGCAGCCAGCAGCATTGACCAGGAGGTGGAGGCTGGTAGGGAGCCCTTGACACACTGCCAAAAAAACCATCAAACATCCCTGAAATCTCAGGAGAACCAACAGACCTCAGGCTCCTGCTTTACATGGCCAGGTTGTTTTGGAGCCACTCACCTCCGTCTTAAGGACAGCAGTAGTATCAGCTCACCTCTTTGGCACGTGCATTATATAAGAGATGATGTTAAACACGAAGAGTGAAGGAGGAGGGAGCCTTGTGGGAGACCCCGAATTAGCCGGACACAAGTCGAGGATTTCAGGGTGGATGCAGGAGGCAACATCATCAGCATCCATCGACATGAGCACCCTCATGCCTGAGGTAATGCCTTCCTGGTGTACCCCTCTGCAGCCTTTGATTCTGAGTTCTTGATTATTGCAGCAGTGGGTGGATCTGCCTCATTTTTAGTCTGATAACACGGCTCTGAGGACAGGCAGGGAAAGATGGCAGTGTAACAAGGAGGACTGAGAGGGGTGGTTTGGTTTGCGCATCCTGGCGTCGGCGCCACGTGTCTGGGGACTGCCTGCCCCGTGCTGCCACAGCTGGGGCTCAGCAGGGGTTGCTTCACCAGCACGGTGGCACTGGTCCCCTTCAGTCCCCCCTCCCCTGCTGCTGCAGCATCTCCAGGTCACCCCACGCCCGCCCGCACAGCGGGTCCGGGCTCAGCGGTGCTGCCAGGAGCTCTGGGGGCTGGCGGGACAGCTCACACGCTCGCGTTCTAGCACGGGGGGAAAAACTTGAAGTCAAATGTCTGAAAGTCAGATCCCTTTTTAGTATGAATTTGCTGTATCTCATTCTGAGCACTAATTCCAATTTAATTGCAAGTGGCCTGAAGCCTCTTCAATAGGAGTAACAAATGGTTTGATTTTGTAAACTTCATCAGACTGCATTTTAAATGCGACACACTAGCCCGGCTCGAATGCCAATGAAGCACTGAAGTAGCTCTCTGTTTACTAATTATCCGTTTTTACTTCAAGCCACGCTGGCTGGCTTGTCTGATTAAATCGGATTTGTGGGATAGAGAACAGCTAGCAGAGTTTTCTCTATAGTAAACGAGATTGAAACTATGGCCCGCCTGGCTGCACACTGTAAATTATATTTCCTTTTAAAGGGGACGTGTCGCCTTTCTGCCACTGGCACACCTCCTGCATCCATAACTCCACCAGAGTCCGGTGCCGGGGGAAACCCACCCCACGCTGCCTCCCTCGCCTGTTGCCATGCTGGTTTTTAGTTTAATTCCTGCTCTGGCAGAGGCAGCGGGAGGGAGGCAGTGCTGTGCTTGATGCCACAGTGCTGCAGCATCCCTCACTGTGACTCGGACGGGCACGCTGTCACACGTCACATCTTGCTTGTCATCAGGTCTGTGGCAATGGCACTGCTTTGGGATTGGGCTGCTGGAGAACAGCAATGTGCATCTTCAGGCTTGAGGCCATAGGCTTTTCCCTCCAGCAAGCATCCCTCCCCTAAAAACCGGTTTTGGGACCACCTCCTATTTAAAAAGGGTCCTGCAAGACACAGCCAATGTGCTCGCCCAGAGAGCATCCGATACCCAACTCGCTCCAGCTTCTGTTTGCAAACCCCGCAGCAGCACCAACAGCTGCCCCACGAACAGCTTACTGCTGCCAGCACAGAGCACAGGGTCTGGCAGGGACACAGAAACCAAGGACGATGGGCAAAGGTGGTGGCCAAAAGTGGCCAAATGCAGCGTGCAGGGCTGCACTTAAACCTCCCCGGTTGCTAAGACTTTAATTCTGCGAGCTTGACCTACGCCGCCCCTTCCCTCAGTATCTATCTTTGTGCCCGGGGGCTTTTTATATTTTAATTTGCTTTTGAACGTCCTGCAAAATTAATGGCGCGCTCGGGGCCATTGTGCAGTGTACAGTAGAGGGAAGGGCCGTCGGCGCCCGCCGAGAGCCGGCGTGTTTCCCAGGGAATGAATTGCTCGCCCGCCTTCACCCCTTTTAATTGTTGACAGTAAAAAGCGTTTAAATGCTGCTTAATTTGTAATCATCTTCCTGCAAAAAGGGGAGAAACCATTAAAATGTCAGAGAAATGAATAAATCCGTCTCTCACTGATTTGGGGTGGCAGCGTTTCTTTATCAGAGGTGATTTTTCTTCCAATGGCTGAGGGCTGGCTCGGGGCTGCTGCGGCTGGAGCCCAGGGATGTGCTCATGGCAGGACAAGGGACCGAGTCCAGTGTCAACCAGTGTGGCCTCCTCTCATGAGCTTTCCCGTTTTTTCCTACCTCCCATCCTCTCTCCAAGGGTGGGACATAGCTGACACGTAGCTTAAAAACAAAAATCAAGTGACTTGAAGGCCGGCAGCAGGCGGTGCCCAGCAGAGCCCTGGCGTGGTGCCTGCTGCACCCCTTGGCTGCTGGAGAATGTCACCAGTGGAGCCTCAGGGCTGGGAACAAGCAGTGCCTGAGCTCGGTGCTCCACGTCCCACTGCAGGGCCGTCTCCCACATCCTCCACCTCTGCACCCGGCCAACATCAGCCTTTGCGCCCTGCAGATGCTCTGCTCTCAGAGGGCAGCTGGCACTGGGTGCCTCCACAGGCCATGCCAGTGCATGTTGACCTCCCACTTCGGGGTGTTTATCTACTTAATGATGCATTACTTGGAAAAAAAAAAAAAGGCAATTAAAATCTGCCTTTTGCAGGTCCTAGGAAGCAACACCCGGGGGATGCCCAGCTCCGGGGACCAGCCCCGTCCTCCGTGTGTGCACAAGGCAGCTCGTCCCCATCGCTGCGGCTGCTGGAGTCAGCCCACTTTTTTATTCAAGCGGGGGCCAATTAGTTTCACAAATGAGGGCCCTACGGTGCCAGGGAGGATTTGTTACGGCCCCGCGCGCCGGCCCGGCGGCATTGTCCTGCCCTCCGCCCCCACGGGAGCCCATTGTCCCC